AAGAGATTCTTTACCTGAAGAGACGACTGGATATCGTAAACCATTAAAATCTATAAAATATAACTCGATGATAACATATTGACTTCCAAAACATTGAATATCAGCCGATACATGATAACGAGCAAGACCAGTAGAAATCAATAAAGAGAAACGTTCAAGTATAATAGTTTGAACTGCATATACAACTTTTCTTGAATTGTAGAACGATGTCACTCGAAAATAACATTCACCTAATGTTTTTGTCAAATTTCGAGTACTATATGCAAATACTTTCATTTCTCCAGTATTAGAAACATCCCATCCGGACGAAAAATTGCTACCATTTGCTGTACACTAACAAAAAAAGACTATTTATAAGTAAGATTTGATTTTTTTTATATAGATTTCTATAATTTAATAGAAGATAGTATCAAGAGATCTATTAGGATAGTAAACAGTTCCAGGATCAACTACACTTTCTATATTAAGTTGTACAGAAAAATGTTTTGAAATATTCTCATACGTACATAGTTGTAGATAAATTAAATATTGTTTCGAACTTACGGTTATTTTCATTTTTGCATCTTATAGGAAGTGTACGAATATCTGTATATATATATAATATTCAGTGTGTATGTGTGTCTGTCTCTTTGTGCCGGGTCAAAGGTCAAATAAGGCTACAAGGGGGTAAGGCTATAAGGGAGAAACACTATAAGGTGGAGACGCTCTAACGGGTTAAGCTACAAGAGCTATAAGAAATATGAGACCGTAAGGCTACATGGGCTACTAGCAATATAAGGATATCACGCCATAGGGCTTTTATGTACATAATGTCGAGTGTTTGTGTCTATTACCGAGTGAAAGGTTAAAATTTGAGGTCGTACGTTAAAGGAGAAAACGTTGCAGTATGCACGGGCTCTCGCTACTATACATATATTTACCTGATCAATTCTAATGTCGATTCAAAACGAAACAAAATTTGTTACAAACCTTCATACCTGTAAGTATATGTATAGAAAAATGAATTGCATACGTACATTTTGTTCAACATCACCATTCACAACAAGATTTTTCGTATAGATAAGCCCCCAAGTACCATTAGGTAAAATACAATTGTATAATGTTGAATTATGTAATTGTTCATTTGATATAATTGCTCCAGTTAGATTTGCATTCGTAAAATTAACATTGCCTTCTTTCCAAAGTGTTCCAGTAAAAATAGATTCGACTAATGATGCTCCAGAAAAATCTATTCCAGCCAATTTTGATTTATTGAAATTAGCTTTAACTAGTGAAGCAAACTTAAACGACGAACGTATCAAAAGTGTATTGAAAAATGTTGCTTTGTACATAATTGCATTCGAAAAATTTCCACGATCAATGTAACAGTCTATAAATGATGAATTTGATAAATAAGCTTCGTGTAAGTAGAGACGTAGAAATGAACATTGATTTTCCATAGTTCCTTTGAAAAAAATATCATTGAAATTAACATAATTAACTCTTAATAAAGATGAAATTGGTTTTGTAGAATGATGATAAATCAGTCCACTTTCGTAAAGAAATAAAAGTAAATGTTGTTTCCGTTCTGGATCCAATTGTCTAAGACTTGTTAATGTTTTTATTCGAATATGCACTAAATGTTGTACTTCATTTTCCATTAAAATTGCGGAAATATCATCGATATAAGTGTCAAATACAGTTTCTTGTCGTAAAATGTCCGTTTGATGGTCAGATTGTAGTCGAAAAAGTCGTGCATCTTCCTTATCCTGTTCTCGCTGTTGATCAGAGAGTTTTTGTTGTAACATAGTTGTGACTATTGTAAAAACACCAATCATTAATGGAATTAAGGCAGATAAAAAAAATTTTATCCATTCATGATAATTTGATTTTGATTGAGTTTTATAACTATTGATGTAAGTTCCTTTTATAGGACTGATTGCTATCGGATCTCTTCGAAACATTTTTGTTCTACTCTGTATTTTCCAAGATGCAAATCTTTTTATTACTTACTAAGTATTGATTTTAATATATAGTCTCTGGTTGTGTGCGTGACTTACATAAAATGAATATATTTATTAAATAGGATTGTGATTATATCATTAAATATTACTTCACTAGTCTAAGCACGTGGAACTTGTCATCACGAAAAAAATCGATCAATTAAGATGTAAATATAAAGAAAATAGAGAACTGCGTAGTTAAAATTACTTTGAGAATTGAGAAAGTGACCAATTTCTCTTGCTTATTATAGAACTTTTTTCCTACATAAATGTTTTTCAACAGTTGAATTTTTGCTGCTAAAATCTCACTTTCTCTACGCTAAGCATAAATATATATGTCCAATCGAATTAATAAAAGCTTAGCAGAATTTACTTATCACGACTATAACTGAAAACTAGAGAGCAGAAAATATCACAAGGTCATAGAAAGTACTATTCAAAAATTAGAGTCAGTGATAACAAATACGATATAGTTTCTAGATGTATCATTAGCAACATTGCATTACATTATCAACAATCATTGTACAATGTACTAAGATTCAGAAAAAGATGTATCGTTTTTTTTTGTATATAACATAATATTAAGGATGTGGCTGCTGGTATAGCAAACAGAAGACTAACGCGCATACTCACATTCTGTTCTGTGCTTCAGAGCAGGACAGAACTCAGATATTATTTCCATAGTTTTGTAGGATAAAATTCAAAAGGATAAATAAATCAAGAGCGTATATAGCAAATAAAAAAAGTGAACATTACATATATGAGAATATTCAAGTGCTGACTTCTACATAACAAACTATAGAAGAAAAAAAAAGTTTTGTCATTTTTTATATAATTATTTTTGTATTGATTTGACGAATAAGATTTTGTTCACTTCCTGTGACTTCATGCTTGTTCGTCGTTTATTCCATTTTCACTTTCTTTTAAGTTTTTTACAATTTTAGGGTAAATTTTGGCAGAAATTGGTTTTTTAAGTACTTTTTGCTCATTTTCTGGCAGGAAATTAAATAAAAAACACTCTCTGACAATAAAATCTCGCAGAAAATCAATGATTTTAGCATTCCCTATTCGATATCTGCTAGAAAGTCATATGAAAACGCTCTTTGCATAATTTTTAGCTCTTCCCATTCCTAAAAAAAATCACAAACCTTGATTATTATGAATAGATACAATCTTGAATAATATTTTTTTGCACGATTTTGTTTTGAGTATAATTCCATTATAATGTGGTCCATTGATGGGTGATTTTCGTCAAAAGTATAGTAAGGGTCTATATTTTATTCATACAAAATTTCGACTCTTCATGTTGAGTTATAGTGAAACTAGACATGTAACAACTTGAATGAGGGTGTGGGTGTGGATGTAGATCTAAAATTCATGCACACACACACCCTAAATATATGTGCCAGGCAAAATTAAACTAATTTTGACAGAACGTAGAGTTCATAAGTTGTATTTCATACAAATTAAACTAAGCCTAGGAAGATGTAGAGTTCGCGAGTTGTATTCAATGCAAATTGAACTAAGCTTGGAAAGGTATAGAATTCGTTAATATACTCCACTGACATTGAGCTGATTGTAACCAGTCCGACCAAAAAAAAGAAAGGGTGTTCTTTATGATCAGGCATCAATTCTCATCAATATCTAACTGCTTCCCTTCGAATACAGTACGGTTCATAGATAATATGCAAACAATATAGATGACGTTATTATGTTTAACAGAGTTCTATTGCATTCAACAAACTAACGAAAGACTTTAATTTATGTCTTCTCATAATGTAATAGCAACGGTATTCACTCGACAATCCATACTCAATAAATATGTTAGTTTGTCTGTTTTTAAAAATAGTTCATTGTCAAAAGAGATACAATTTTCCCATATGAATAGCTTTAAGTAACAACGAAGAGAACGATTTTCAGTAGTTGCTTAGTTCTGGTTTTCGGATATTGTCTTTAATAGCTATTCAATCTCGCAAAACTACTTCTACATCTTTATAGCTATTTAAATATTTATCACCTATTCCATTCACATTACTGATTTTTTTTCGAGCAGAGGGTAGCGAAGACGCTTATGGATTGCCACAAATCTGCTAGATAAGTATTTCTCTTATCCAAGGTAACGGTCATTAGTCGTTATACTTCGCTTGTATGACATCTTCCTGAATTTCTAACCTTCTTTTTTTTGTTTCCTCATGTGTGACTATTTCTCGATTAGTTGAATTTAATGAGGAGAAGACACAGTTTTGATTGTGCAAGACAACATTATGCTAAAAAGACATCGATACTCAATTCTACAGTTCACCACACACAGTAGAATTTTAAGATATTAATGTAAAAATAATACAACTAGTTATAAAGCCTTGTTAGCAATTTATTTCACGTTATCGATCGTATTTGTCGCGAGGTACTTTTATGATTTGTTTACAAATCTGTGGATAAAAAGGCACTGGAAACAAAGCAGAATTTGGTGTTGGATTACTTCCAAAGAGTATGAATCGGTGAGAAATGAACATAATAAGTTTATTTAAGTAAAAAAAACTAAGTGCGTTCTGTTTTCTTAATCAAAATGAAAACTTGAATTCATTTTCATGTGAAAAAAAATAATTTCTTCATTTCGCGCCGAACTACAAATCAATTTTGCCTAAGTTTAATTTTCTCATTTGATGATCAATTATGTATCGAATATCAATCGTATACGTAAAAGTTTATAGGAAAAAGGAGAAGTCTACATCGTGCGCTATAGTATGAGTGCAACAGAAAGTTAATCTTCCTAATGATCTCTCTAGACTTATGGCTGATCTTGAGTAATGCATATGCATGATTAATACCTGTTAAGAGATGATCTATGACTGAACCGAGCATTTTTATACTAGGGTCTCATAGGAAAGATTTTGACATACCTTTGCTATCACTAGAAATGAAAGAGCATGTAAAGAAACCTAGGGTGCGGGTGTGGGTGAGAAGTAAAATAGGAACCACACCCACACTCAGATAAAAAAAATACAAATCACATCACTTTTAAATAAGATCATCATCAGAGTTGTTCTTGATATGGGGTTGATCTGGAACAACCAAATTTTTGTCGCGAGTTTGAAACAATAAACGGGTAATATCACGTTTCGGTCTTTTCTCTAATGTTGCTTCAATATCAACAATTGCATCTTTATATTTCTCAGTAATTAATGCACCCAATTCTGAATGGACAATTGCTAGTCGTTGTCGGGATGAAAAACCAACGCCTTCAATTTTAATTTGATAACCCATTGCAGTCAAGCCATATTTTTCCAATATCTGATTAACTTGCCGCTGAGTAACCAATGTTTGGCGTTCTATAGAAGGATTATTTGTATAAAGTAAGATTTTAATTTTCTTTTTATCACCATATTCTCCCGCATGAATATGTTTTATAATTCTTTCAGTTGCATCTCGAGCAGTGGATGCTGTATTTGGTCGTACTTTGTCTTGTGCTAGTGTATCAATTATATTTATTTTATTTATATTGTTATCTAAATACGTCCTCAATAAATCCTGCGAAATGTGAGTTTCCGTTAGTTTTGACGTCTTGTTCATATCGTCATAATTGGCATAAATTCTGTTCGGAAAACGGCCCGGTGGACATTCATCTTTGTTTGCATACTGAATAAATGGTTTTGATGCATTCAGTTTTATATTATAGAATCGAGCCAAATGCATTATATATGCTTTGCCTTCCTCAATTTCAATAGAATCATCATCTGCAGATGATGAGAGACGTACCGTATTGATATCAATATTCTTTTCAGATGCTTCCAGTAATTTCTGACATAGTGTAGGTGTCATTCCATCGATATTGGCCCATACTTCTCGTTCACCAGCTAATACTAGTGTTTCACCATTTATTTTAATGGCTTTAGAATAAATATAGTATTTATAATCTATAATGCGTTGTGACAATGCCACTCGAGCAGCTCCCGCAATCCAACAACCATCGTATTCGTTTAATGTAGGATACTCTCGATCAATGAGGCGTAATAAACGTGCTGCTTCAAGGTAATAATCTTCATAAGTAGTCATCCATTTAGGTGAAACAAGTTCGTATCGTTCTTGTGCAGCTTGTCGACCAAAGGCATGTTGAGCTATGTACAATAATAAGTCCAAAGCATCTTGTAAATCAATATTATCACTTTTAAAGAGATTTGTACGCATGTATTCTGCATTGAATTTTGTTGGATCTGATTGATCAGCTTTAGAATATTTTACAACAGAAGATATCTCATCAAATACTTTTGTTACGTTTTCTACGTCTCCAATACAATTCAAATCGTGCCATATGTTTGATAATTTGAAATAGCCTGCTAATTGAAATATTTTCAACAAAGCTTCTTGTTGTTCTTCCATGCTGATCTTTTGACCATTGCTTTTTTCATAGCCTTTAAACCCTAATTTTTGTGCGGCTAACATGTACTTAGATGGTCTGATAGATTGTCGATAAGAATTATAAATAAAATATGATAATATTGTTAATATTGCAAGTCCACAACTAATGAATTGTATCCATGTTTCAAGCATATTGTTCCTACAATCAGAGAAACAATTGTCAAGATTTGTATATGAAAAGTGTGATAATTGAGTGCCAGAAGTTGAAAAAGCACGGGATCGAACCGAAATCTAAATGACTTTTATCGAACCTAACCAAACTGAAACCAACTCTTCGTCTTTCGTGCTGGATTAGACTGACTTCGGTTCATTTCGGAACTATCCCTAGAAATAGTAGTTCTAGTTGATTTTTGATACAATAGAACGGACTCGTGAACAAACACTATTTCAAGAACAACGAAATTTGAGAAAGAATTTTCTATGTCACATGGTTAAAGTTAGAAAAATTTCTGAGTTAGACGAAAAAAGTGGTTTTGTATATCCCTAATTCTGATACATGTGCATGTACAAAGAAATGTTCATACTTTTAACAAGTCAAAATCATTCAAGTAGATTTTATATGTATTCGAAGTATTCTGAGAAAGAGGATTTTTCAGATTCCTATCTAGGACGTGCATTACTTTTCGTCTTTCGTGACCACCTTTTATAACAACAAGCAAACCTCTTGAATGCAGATTTATTTGATGGAATACTTAAGGAAATATGGTGTTGATTCGATAATTGAGTACTCAATGCGAAAAAGTCAGTTTACAATAGTATCACTTCGAAATCGACTTCTTTTTTTTCCTTTTTCATTGCATACTGTGTGCTACTATCAGAATCATACTTATTTACCTTATGTATCTATAACGTACGATTATCTTTTTGATAAATTACGATTAATCGCTAATTTATTACGACTTCGAGAATATAGGTATTCATTTTATTAGAAATTTGAACATGGAATGATTAAGAAGTTCGATTGTTTAGTATGTTGCACTTACTTCAATAGTATTTCGACGAATCTAAAGAATTTTTTGCAATAGTCAACACATTATCTATTATGATGCACTTATTATTCATCGTCCTGTTTTTTTTTCGTACTATTTTTTCTTCTCATCTTTCGCATTTTTATCGTTTCTTTTTTTCCTTTCTATTTGCTTTTTTTTCTTCGATCGTATTTTTACTTTTTCTTTCTCGTTTCTTCTCGAGCAACAACCTTGTTATCATACTATTATCCTTTTCTCTTGCTTGTTCTTTAACTCTATTTCCATTGTGTTTTGTAATCAGCCTCATAGTTGCCATGATGATATTAATATTTACTCGACAAGTCATAATAAAGAGAATACTACTTAAAATATTGAAAAACAACATGATTATAATGATTGCGATGGCGATGTTAATAGATGGATGCTACCCAACGAAAAATACATTAGATCGTACTCGATAACCAAGAATGATGTCAAGTAAAAGGCCTAAAACATTTTTAACAAATAATCAAAAAGATATTTTAAAGACTGTCACATCCGTGTTTTACAAGTTCTAGTTTCTAGAATTTTTCACGACGATTGAATATTTGACGATTTGAAGAAATAAATGGCTTCCATTGTTCGATATTCAAGTATAGAAAGATCGTTGTATTGATTGCCAACATTTAATTTCATGATAGGATTACACATAGAATGAAAAACAAAAAATCTTAGTTCAATCAGAATTAATATTAAACAAAAAACAAAATTTAAGAAAATATTAAGTCTTCTTTGTTAACAAAGAATTCTAATATTTTAAGTAAGTTTTACATAGAGACCAATTTCAACTTAACTTAGGCCTAGAGAAACGGATTACTCTATCGAGTAGCGTCTTTTAAATACGAGCTCCTAAATTTGCTGCCTGTAACGTTTACAACCTTAATTATAAGATGTTTTTTATGTTCACTCAATTTGAATTGAAAATCATGTTGGCAAAACAAACGAAATGGAAAAGAAATGCAACGTTGTCATTGATTGTATTCTTATTCTTTCCAACTTTCGTCTATTTTTCATCTGCATTTTGACTTAAGTATTGTTGTGTTTGATGCCTGACTTCATCATTGTTTGCTTTTCTCTGATCCTTTTAGAGCGATGTTCTCTCTTTCTGACATCAACGAAAAAAAAGAAACATCATAAGTTTCATTGTTTTTCATTATACTTCCGATGGACATTGCAAGGATGTGAATGATAGAAAAAGAAAATTCAACTTTAATTGTCAATCAAATAATGTTACTAAATATGTTTCATTGTTAATCATATTGCTATTAATGTGACGATTATTTCAAGTAAAGAAAGCTGCTTAAATCGTACTCCACTACCAGTGGACAAATCATACGCTATAGTTACTGAATTTGTTGTTCATTGACGAATTATTTTTTTCTCATCTTGATTATGGATGCCAGTAAGGCTGATACTATAAATACATCTTTATTTTTAAATTACTTAGAATAGTTCGGATGATTCTAATCCATATATGAAATATATTTCGAATAGAAAAGGAATCTTATGCAAAATTTTCTCAAAATATATTCTAATCATTAGTGTTCTGCTAGATATCTATCATTAATCCAAGTTCTTTTTGTAACGAGAAGGCAATGGTATGCTTATCATTACTTGGTTGTTAAACTTTCAAAAGCAGCTATTCATGTCTCAAGGAGACTTTGAGTTCATTTAAAGAATAGGAACTCGACTCACAACTGTGCAGACGTGAAATCATGCAAATTCTGTTTGTTTCCTAAATTAGTCTTCAAAAAATGTGTACTTATTTTATTCTCTTTCATTTTATTCAGTAAGACTACAAGATCCGAAGATGATCAAGTATTTGATTAATATTAAAAATATTCTACGTGATAACAAATATAAAAACGACTAGGATGATGTTAGTAAAATTGTAGTCGATGTCATAGAAAAAAAAATGCATTGACACGGAGGAATAATATTAATAATTTAATAATTTGTTTCAATTCTTTTTGTATGAAGTCTGACAAAATCTAGTTTTTATGATTTACTTTATCTTGTGAAGGTTAGAAATCATCTAAAGATAAGGAATTATCATATGTTCAAGTACGAAATCAATGGTATAGACTATTAAAAGAAGCAACAGATCAAATTGAACTTAAGGTCAACTGTGTTGATGAAGGCCACATTCGCGCTTTAGACCGAAGAAACGAGTATCTTCTTGACGTAGACCAGGTTCCCAAGGTCGAGTAGTATGAATATCTCCAATCGAAACATAACCTTTTTCCCAAAGTGGATGATATGGCAAATTGTGTCGTTTTAAATACATGTCAACATCGCTATCAGTCCAATCAGCTATTGGATGCACTTTCCATCGGCCATTTTGACGTTCAATAATGCGAATTCCTTGGCGACTTTCAGATTGATTGCGACGTAGACCAGCAAACCAAGTTTCAACACCAAGATTTTCTAGAGCAAGTTGCATTGGCTTGATTTTTACTAGATGATTGTAAAGATCGATTCCATCTAAACCTTTTTCCCATAAACGACCATGACGTACTTCAAGCCAAGCAGCTGAAATCTCTGGACGCAATACATTAAGATTGAGTTGTAAACATTCATGTAATTGATCAATGAAACTATAGGTCTCTGGAAAAAGGTAACCTGTATCTATGAGTAATACTGGAATATCAGGTTTCTGTGCTGTCAATAAGTGTAGCGAAGCTGCAGCTTGTGCACCAAAACTTGATGATAGGGCATAGGTGCCTGGTAATTCACATAATGCCCAAGTCACACGTCTCTCAGCAGTTTGAGTCTCCAACCATCGGTTCAACGTGTCGAGAGCACTTTCATTCATCAGTGCCTCGGCTACAGTGCATGGTGCACCGATTGAATCAGTTCGCAGTGAATATGTCAATTTTAATTGAACTTTTTCGTTCGATTGATTGATTCCATCATTTGTCTGCTTCTTTTTTTCACTAATATGAATATCGTCTTCATATTTATGATCATTTATGTCAACTTCTGATTCGATTTGACAATATTCTCTTGTTTTTTGTTCGTTTGCATTCAGATAATTGATCATTTTATGTTTCTTTCCTATTTCGAATTGATAAATATCTTGTTGTAATTGATTTTTATTTTCAACTGTTTTATCAGCGAAATATAAATCGCCATTCGAAGTTATGATTGGTTTAATTATTTCTACGTCTAATTTAGCATTGTCAAAATGTTCTAGAATGAAATCAAATTCTTTTTTAATTTGTTCAATTTTATCTTGCTTTATATCGTATTGTTGTTTAAGATTGATTACCCGATTTATGATTTTGTCAACTTGCTGTAAAACACGCAATTGTGTACTACGAATTTGATTGTATTGTTGATTTAGATATGCAATTTGTGTATCTTTTTCTTTAATTGTATTCATCAATTTTTGAATTTCGATATGGGATGATTCCGTACTAGAATTATCTTGAGTGAACAAATTTGATTTCGTTTTTAAATCGTCTTCGTTCTTGAATAACATTGAGTGGAACGATTCTTCTTCACCAGTACTACGATAGAATTGACGTTTGTTTGGAGTTGTTGATCTTAAGAGATCTTTTTCAATCACGTTTTCGACACGAGCCACAGAAAATAGGAAACCATAAAGTTGTTGATCAGCCAATTGTCGTCTTTCAATAACATTTTCATTGCTTTTATTCCATGTATCATCGATAAGATGCATTTTACCGATATATTTGAGAATAATATGTTTCTTTTGACTAGTTACTAATCGATTTTGTTCATTTTGGCTTGTCAGATTGTTTATTGTAGTATTGATACAGGTATCATGGATTGCATCTGGTACTGAACTCACTTCCGATTCAACTCCTATACAATGAAATCATTGATTGCAATAATACACTTCTCACAGATCTGTAGACAAGCAATAATTTCTATTTGTTGATGATAGTGGTGGCGTAACCATCAGTGAGACTAAGCCTCAATAGTGACGAAATCCCAATTACACCGCTAGACGATAGCTATATGTATCAATGAGTGATACTGGTTTTCCAAAAGTTGAAGAAAAAGCTCATATGTTCTCGGCTCTAATATAACTGATATCGATCTAATAACGAATTTCTTCTCGATATTCAACAATGGCTTTCCAGTATTTGCATAGCTAAGATGGAACCTAGTGAAGGCTACAAAGTCTCAGTTCTTCCTCCATAGATTCTTTAGATATGGGAAAAAGATATATCGAGCTTCTTCAAAAATTAAAAGAAGGGATGGTAAACTACTTCTATAAACTAGGGGGTGATAAGTTGTTGTTACTAATTATTATTAATAACAATATATTCTCACTTTGTCTAAGAGTAAGTAGGAACATCAGTGGCCTAGTCAAGAGGAGAAAAGAGACGCTGGTTCCCTTCGAGAAAATTTTCTAAAATTAAACTTCTGCTTAATCGATCACAACAAAACAGATCGACACGTTACTTTGAAATAAGGCGAACTTCCAAATTTTTGGATTCATAACTGTGCGAATTTTTCTTTTGTTTTGGACGATGAACTTTAGTTTTGAAATGAATATGAAATTCTAAATTCTAAGTCTAGTTTGACCTATTATACGATATGATAAGGTGTAGTGAAGATCGTCGTTTAAGATTAAAGCAAATGGAATAAATCATTCTTCAGTTTAGTGAAAAATACAACGGATGACTCTGTAGCATCTGGTATAAACGAGATTAGTGAAGTTAGAAAGTCATATTATTTGATGAATCTCGTTGAACAGTACCTTCAAGAGATCGATTATGATTAGTGTCAATGCCATTCTCTAGAAAATGTTGCGATCGAATAAGATGATCGAAAAACGAATGGTTGGACTCGCTTTCAAAACCAAGAACATCATAAGTTGATTGATCTAAAGAAAAAATTCAATGAAAATCTCCAACATTCATAACATCATATTCATCTACCATTGGTACTTTGTGATTGATCGAGCAAAAATGTAATCAATTGACCTAGAATCTTTGAAATGAATACAAAAAAAAATACGCTCGAATGATTCACTATACCTTCTTTAAATGTAGTCGAGTCAACCTGTCCCTTTACCTCGGATTTGTATCCATTGGTTATGACTCGATCATTGTTTTTCAATAGAGCAACAGATGAATCTTCGCTATTGAGAACATTTTTCATCATTGGTTTTTGTTGAAAATGTAAGTTCGATTCGAAATTATTTGTAATCGATGCCAAGTACACTTTGAAATGATTCAATTGAAAGAGAATCTGTTGTCGCTTTGCTCATATATAAATACTATCAATGATAAAATCTAGTAAAAACAGTCGATCATTTCAAGAGCCGATTCTCAACTAAGATCGGAGAGATAATTGGAGTTATATTACAAAAAAAAATGAATTCTGCTCTTTACCTATGATAAACAGTGTGTTCCTTGAACATCTGTTCTTCCTATACTAGGGTTTTCGATATTGCATTTATTTTCTCTTGTCAAAAGTGCGTAAGACATTTTGATTGTTTTTCCAATAAATTTAGAACATAGTATCTCATCGATTGCAGCGTAATGAACTAGAGTTCTGCAGAGTAATCCTATCCTGCTCTGCTCTATAGGGTAGGCTAGAGTAAGAATGGCGAAAACATTTTAGAGTGAAGATTAAGGTTTCGCTGTATGTTTGTCCTTTTCCCTTCAACTTTACTGATCTACTAACGATGGACATCAATTCATAATGTACTTAGATGCATTTTCTGAGTAATTTGAGAACGAAATCATCTAGTGAAGTGCGTAGTTTGCGTCATTTGATTCTTATACTAGCCGATGCTTCATATTTTCATCCCTATAATGATGAAAATTAACAGCTTCTAATTACTTTTATGTTCTGAAGTTGTTCAAAAAGTATTGAAACTAACCGTAGGATAGGGTGAGGACAAGAAAATCTCTGTAGGGTAGAGCGTAAGCACATGAGCATGTTGAACACCAAAACAAATGTATGTTGTCCAGGAGAGTGAGAATTATAGTTTTAAAAAATTCAAGCCTGAACGACCAGTGCTGATAAAGAAAAGTACAATTTCTAGATTTCTTTTGTTTCGTCGAATTTCGAAATTGAAAACAAAATTATAATATGAAAATGTTGGAAATCTATGTGAAATTCGATAATCCCAAAGTTGTCTGTCTTCGTTTAATGCCAAAGAAGAGATAAAGAAATTCCTTTTTTTTTCGATCTTCTTGAATGAAAAAATAAATTAGTTGCGAAAATCTGTATTCAAACAGAATTTTTCATTCTATGAGAGCTTCCAGAATTAATTTTAGAAAAGTAAGATTTGTTTGAGATGCTACATTTAGTGTGCAGATGTTGTAAAACAGAAAAAACACTTATGTAGAGAAACGATAACTCTACATGATTTGTGAAGAAAAGTTATAAAAACTAGAAGTCAAAAGTGAAAAAGACTGGTCTCATTTACCCTAGCTGATCCTACTAGTAGGACAGTGTAGTAATGCCTATCAGATACGCGTGTTCAATTCTCTACAATACTACAATTCCTCTGGAGTAACAAAATAAAACGAGAAAAAACGCATGTAAAATCCACTCATCTATCAGATATTATAACCATGACGATAGATCAAAAGACACACGCAAATCGTGTTTACCTGATGTTTTACTACGATCGATTTCGTACAAGTAGTCTTGAATGTGCATGCTATATAAACGTCATCAACATATCTTAGATGAATAAGCATAAAGAAAGTATGAGGGCGGCTAAATTTTTTCCTTTCGTACTAATGAAAATTGGTAAGAAGAAATGACGAAAAAAAACGAAGAAACTAATCGTTCACACGTGCTCTGCATACATCGATCTGATAAAAAAGAAGAGAAAAAAATATGTCCTTAACCAAAAAAAAATTAAGAAAGAAAGCGCTACATAATATTGTCCAAACCATATAGAACGAAAAAGGCAAAAAGAGAGAGAGAAAAAGCAATAGAGAAATTAATGAAGCGCAACGTGTGTGTGTCAAAATAAATCGTTTGCCAGACGCATAACGAACACTTTTTGGTGTCATTTTCACGCCAAGCTAAAGAGTAAGAGTATTGAATAGAACAAAAATTCGAATCGTACTTGTCAAATTCTACGAACTGGCAGTTTTGGTTTAATGCCAAAATTAACTATAATTAACGGTGACACATTTTAACACATTAAAGACAAAATCTGGCTGTATTTGACAGTTTATTTGAACTGTGAGTGGCTTAATGAGTATTCATATTTTCTTGTATCCCGTTTTTAACAGTGAAAATATATTATTTTATAAGTTTTAATATTCACTAATGCTAAACTTTTTCTGTACATGCTTTTTTTTTCACTGTTTATCATGTTCAAGATTCTCTCAAGTAGAAATATAAACTATTAATAATGGTGAAAGATGAAAGTCTAATAGTGAATCTTGCAGCATAGAAAATCATTGTTGATAGTGAAAAGTATATGTGCAGAGTCAGTATCGGAGTATCTATTCTCGATTGTTTAGTAGAAACAGAGAAGATTCAGAGAAATGAAGAAGCATATCGAATATTCATTGATTTTTATTTCAAATAGGAAAATAAAAGATTTCAAACATTATTCACATCTTTGATAGAATTGATACGTGTCAAACATTTATAACAAGTATTTTGAATATGTGGATCATGACACAGAGTTTTAATAAACACTTCGCATAAATCAACTATCACCTTGCTAAATACTAATAAAATGGTTAAACAGGCAATACATCGTGGAAAATCATATTGTTTATTTGTATAGAATAATAAGTGTTTCAAGTCATTTTCATAGCCACAGTCCTTTATGTAAGCAATACTGTTGTTTTATGTCAAAAAATGATTGAGATATGGTCGTGACAAGGCGGAAATAGAGTTTGATCTATAAATCCCACTGGACGTCAAGCAATCGGGGGTGGGTTGATGCTTGCGATCCGCACGCACTCAAAATATTAATCTAAAATCATAAAATCTAGAACCTAGCTTCACCTATCCGACATGGCGTCTTATTTTCATTAGCAGGACTCTCTTGAATGATCTTGAAATTCCCAGATTCCTTGTTACAGTAAAATGCTATTTTTCGTCACGCCATCTCAAAAATAGGGTTTTACTACCCTGAAGTTCGTTACGATTTTCTGGAATATTTCAAAAAGAAGACCATTTTTGCCAAATACTTTTTCTGAAAAAAATCGTCAACTGAATGTTGGTTTGTTTAGAAAGACTACGATGATTCTTAAAAATGTCCAGTTTTATATTAAATGTCACACCGCTTTTTTAATTTTGCAGTGCCAATTTCTCACAAATGCGTAAATCATTTAACCTGGAATTTACACTCTTTTTTTGTCCATCTGATGAATCTTTTCACATGAAGGTGTGAATATGTGTGATGAGAAGATATCCACACCCACACCCTTATTCAGCCGTCGAACGAATTAAGATTGGTGGTGAAACTTTCTTATCGGTGGTATCGAAATGGGTGGTAGTCTTCTTGAAAAATATCCAAATCCTGAATTTTCCAAACTAACGTTGGATTAAGAACAAAAGAAGAAATCATGAAGACTGTTGCAAAATATAACGAAAAGGAATTATAATTGATTCATTCGATGTTGGAGAAGATTTTGATGCAGCAATTATGAAAGGCATTGCTCAAGGTGAATGTGATGAATTCTTTTTCCTTTCGGCCGAAGTCATCGTAGACTTAATGACAAAAGGACTTCAGAGTGTCTTTGATGTTTGTGGAACACAAGCTAAAGTAGTTATTCGTGATCGTAATAATACAATTGTAAGAAAAGTATGGGACCATGAAAACACTGCACGTGGTGGAATTCTTGACAACCTTCATTGATTATCAGTTGAAATATAATCTTTCTGGTAATTTTGAAGGTGAACCATTAATTGCTACTGATCAGCTATCAGTAACAGTCACCAATGACGAATCATTCATTCAACAATTCGATCCAAAAGTTAGAACCTTAGATGCAGTTCAAGTTGCAGGAGAAATGATTGACAGAATCGCTCAACTAATACAGAGTCATGGAAGACATGAATCTATTTCATTAATTACTGAGCACATAGCTCTCCTTAAACAATGACCAAGCAGTAAGCGCAAAAGCTGCTGCTCAAGAAAATATAGTCATCATGATTGTATGAAGAAACATCATGATTACAAATATACCAACTACTACGATGAAGATTAATTCGAAACCATCGATTTTTTTCAACCGCAATTATGACGAGAATCGATTCAGATTTGCATATTATCTGTACTTTATAGTTAAACGTATGATTATTACCTTTGTATTTCCTTCGTTGTCAATTTCAATTGCATATAATAACATACAGTAATGTTCTTCTACTATCAAAAAAAGATTTATTTTTCTTTCAATAAATTATTTGAATCAAGGCGAAATGTATCAAGCGATTACTGCAGGACATGAGAGAGAGGTGTTCGCTAATAATCTATACGTTCAAGCTGAAGCGATCGATGCTGCTCTCATCGAAAAAGAGATCTGTTGCGGCAGTTGTGTGATTGATCTGATAAATAAAATAAATGATGTCAAAATATCGACAGAACTATCAGAAATAGAAAAGCATTAACTAAACATCTTCGCGTATGAGAAGCGATGACAAGTTATACACGATATTCGATTTCCAACACTTAGCATTGAGTGAAGAGTGTTAGCGTTGTTGAGAATTTGTGTCAACAGTGGGTATCTGACACTTCTGTTTTAGCAGGCTCTTGATTTGTCAATGTCTATTACGAACTCAGAGCATCACCCATACCAGAATCTAACTCTACGTGGGTAGACCGAGAATTTGAATCATGTTGGGTGAGTATATGACTGCGGATACGGATGTCGGTTAAGAGAAGACCACCGACTACATCCACACTAAAACATTTTCTCCTTCTCGTACTGCTGCATCATCACATGTATTTTTGACTTCGAATTTTCTTAAAGCTGTATAACCTATACTCAAGCATTTTTATACTTGTTCTTTTTCTTCTTTGTAAAAGCTAAATAATATTCAATATTGTTTTTTTTTGTTGACTTATCAATGGAACAATAAATCTCTCATTGTCAAAACAAAAGAAATAGCGATAGATAACACGAGAAATAAAAATAATATTATACGTCGTTATTGACTTATCGAATTTCCTGTGACCTTTGTCTTTATCTGAGTTAAACATCGGACGTAATTCGATTTGCGCAGTACAGTGCAAGCAGTGAAAGTGAGTGATTCATCAGATAGAAGATATAAAAATTGGTGTATATGGCATTCTGTTCTCATTACTACTCGTTTCAACAACATAATCAATACAATATGAAGATGATGACGACGTCAATACTTTTGTATGTGAAGCTGTTTCTGTTTAGTTTGATATTTAAACTGACCAGCACGGAGGTTATTGATCTGACGAAAAGTGATGATTGGGAGCATGGTACGTTGCAGGAACAATGGTCAGAACCTATCTCAGAAATCATCGAGAAAAAACTAGATTATGTGAATCCAATAACATCGTTTCGACAACATCAAAGGATCGCAGAGATGAATAACAGGAAGACTGAACACATAGTGCAGAAAAGATGCGATCATGGATGTCGGTCTTCACATCATCATCACCATCACCATCACCGTCGTCGTCATGGGTCGAATCCATACCCTAGTCATTTGGCAAATCCATACCCTAGTCCTTTGGCAAATCCATACCCTGGCTCTTGGTTTAATTCATATACTGGTCCTCGGCTAAATCCAAATCCGATTGGAATCCCACCTTTTCAACGACGATATAAGCGATCATTATCAATATTTGATGACAACAGGAGAAGTAAGAATTTAGCTAACAATGCTAAGCAGTGGCAAGTGGAACAAAGGTTCACTGATCGTGCTCGTGAATCTATCAAATCACACCAGGTAAGTTATATCGATATAGACTGTTGAAGTCCGATCTGCTTTTTGACACTCATTGTTTAGCCATTGCATGAAATTAACAGCTATGATCGTCAAGGTTATTTCGACATACCGACATTATTAACTGACAAAACTGATAACCAAATGTTAGTTAGTATTGATGAAACTCTTGATAAATCTTTTCAAATTGCAACAGATGTATGTTTGATTAATACTGAAAACCATTTTTAGTTTTCTTTTCTCTATTTTTATCTAGGATGAAAGCAACAACCAGCTTTGAAGTAAAGCATTGAAGTGAGCTGTGGCATTTTATTTCCAAAGTGGCATCAAATATTATTCTTTTTCATACACACGAAACATATTCCTATAGCCCAACTTTGCTAAGTTTTTCATCTACTTTTATCACACAATAATAAATAATATGTAATCACGGTCATTTTCCAACAGAGCTAACAAGAAAATTGATATATGTAAAACTGCAATGAAAAATCACACAACCACATATCAAAGTACTCGAATAGCGCATGCGTATACAAAATTTCTTGAATGATCATGCTAGTAAGTGATACTTGCCAAATGAGTCTTTTCATCAAGATCAGACTTCATGACTGCAAAAAATTTCGACTACACTTTAACAAAATATGATTATTTTCAAAATATAGCTTTTCTTTGATAAATCCATCGATTTTCTATTCACTTGTTGCCGTTATCTGTTATTCCATAATCGTTACTTTTTCTGTAATTAATCATCTGATGAAGTAGTTGGTAAATAACAGTAACTTTCTTTCTTCTAATATATCCTATCTTTATCATTATATTAGTTATTTATCTATTTTTTTAAGACAGACGAAAACTGTTCTTTATTCTTTACTTTATGTTGATCCTTAAAACTGAAGATTTTATTTGATTTTCTTTTATTATTATAATGATTACAATTATATTTTTTATTATAAAGAACAAGAAAAATAAAACGACACTCCTAATAATGATATTGATCGTCATATCAGTTGGTATTCTCGTTATCGTCGCGCAAATTATCGTGTCAGTCACGCCAGTTGCTAGTGTTCATGCGGTGCCATGCTCGCGTCATAAAAGTCCTGCCACGTCCTAGTGTCGTGGCTACAGCCCATAGTGTTGCCACCTTTAGTTGACCAAACAAGGCGGTTTGTATTATCCTTACGATGTAGTAGTAGATGACCATCGTCTTCGAGCATCAAGCGACAGTCAGACGTATAGTGATATGTACCTGTATCCCACATGGGCTGTTTTCCTGCGTCATAAACAACAACATTGTTATCCCATTGCATCTTCAGTACAAATGGACTCTGAACATTCGACCATTCTGTATTGAACGTTGATTTCCACAGAGATTCATCCTGTTTATCTTGTTTGTAAATTGCCATGTGTCCATCAAATTGCAGTGTTAGATAAAATTGTCCATTAGATGACACGATATTTTCACCAACATGAAGTTCTTCTTCCTTTGCCAAACTTAACTTGTCAGGCAAACTCATTATTTTAGTCGTTGACTATGAGACTCGATGAAGCAAAAAAACGATGCACACTGTATTCTCAATACTGTATATATGTATGAAAGAGAAAAAAAAAACGTCTATCAATATGCACACATCGTATGCTTAAGCATCCATGACTTGCATTTTTACACAGTAAAAAAAGAGAGTAGTGGACGAAGTATAATCATCGGTTGCGCAATACATAAATTTAATTTCTCCCTTTTTCGCCTTAATAACGTACTTTTAATAAAAAAGTTGTCATTTACTGAAGATATCCTCTGTTGAGTGTTTTAGCATTTTTTTTACTATCCAAATAATCTGTCTATCGAGTAGTTTTCTTGTGTCTACTAATAAATTTTACCTGCTTTTTCAAATTTTAATCATATAAACAAAGAAAATCGAATAATGTGCTAATCGATAGCATGATCTTGATGCTTTTTCTAAAACTATATGTGGACTCACTTGATTCTTAGAATTATTAATTAAAAAGTCAAATGTGCTGTTACTAATAAATATTCGTAGACTTTTTTTGTCTTAATCTTATATGGAATTGCAATAAACGCGTTTTCACCCATTGAGATAAATGAGTAGGATGTCTATTTTGCATTCTAGATTGATTAAAAATAGCATCAATTGGGACAAAAAAATTGATCAACATTGTCATTCTTTTATAAATAATCTTTTTTATTGATGTGACACTAACAACAAATAGAACATATTTTTTGTTCCGATCTCAGACTAGTTTATTCGTTACATACTTGGGATGATTTCACAATTTTAATTCCCAGTCAAGAAAAATCGTTAATTGATTATCGTTGCTCTTACTAGCAAAAATTTTCATTGTATTTGAAAAAAGTCAAAAGAAGTAATGTTTTATCAAAACACATAAACAGCATATTTAGTTCCTTTACCTTCTGATAAGAGTTGATAAATCGCATCGAGACGTGTTTGAAAAAGACTCTTTCATCCTCATCCTTTCGGATTCGGAAGATTGAAAAATTCTCTGCCCAATGAGTTAGAAATGAATTTTGTGTTCTTCCCAAAAGAAATTAATAATGTATCATTTTCTATAAGTCATCCATTCAAGTCATCTTTAGACATATTATTTTTGCATTCGATGTTTACATTGGCATGTAGTGAGAAATTTTAAGATATCATTTCAACTAATTTGGTGAAGAATTTACTAATTCAATCAATTGTTAAATATCATCAAAAACATGTGTTTCTATTCCGGAACAGTACCAAACCATTATACGAAATCTTTCTGTAACAGAACGATCAAAATCACAATCGAACGAAATTCCAAAAATCATATGTGTGGTGGAAATTTTTCAGTTCTGTCTTTTATTCGATCCATTCACGTATTATAAACTATTCATTATGGCGTGTGGGTGTGTTATAATTTAAAGAATAATCAATTAGCTAGCAAGACCGGTTTCGATAAGTTCTAAAATTAAACTTATCAATTGCTTTTTTGATTATAAGATATTATAAATGATAATTCTCCTATTATGAATGTAACAGTCAGAAGTTTCATAAAGGAAACTCCTAATCTAATGACACTCACATTGATATATTATCGAGTAGATTGCATGAGAACAAAGTATCCGACAAAATTGTGAAGAGATTCTCCAACAATAGGAAGTGTGGGTGTGGGTGTGGAGGCTAATTTTCTTTTAGCAACAACACTCACACCCACATCCTTAAAAAGAAATTCAAATTCATAAGGAATCTGATGCAGTGTTTTCACGAGGAATCCGAATCTGTAATTAGTTTTAGAATCCGAGTGAAAAGTCATAAACTATTATTGATATGTTGATGAAATACCGCATTCATTTTTTGAAAAAAATGTGAAAATGTGTATATAGTATCTTGTTCATATCTTTTCGAAAATAGGGTCTAAACTTAAAAATTTTATTACAAAAATGATCAGTGCAAAAAGCTCTACAAATCATGACAGTTAGAATGAATTCGGAGGTGATTGCCGAAGCAGCTGGAAAAATCCCATGGAATCACCCATAATTGAAAAAAAATTAAAGAAGAACTTTCATCATGCGTCGATAATATTCGATTTTTAAATGTAAATAAAAAAATGCTAATTGTAATATAAGATAAATTTATCTCGATCACATTAAGAGTGCCGGTAGAAAAAATACACAAAAATAAATATACAAATTAGACACTGCGTTGGCAAAAGTATTTAGAAAAATAAGTATCGAAATGTTGAATATCAAACGTTTTTGTACAGTAGGCAATGTACTGATCAGGTCGAATAAGAAAACCAGCACCCTCCGAACTCTTATTCACGCCAAAAACATGAAAAATTTCTTTTGTGTCTTCAGAATATTGAAATTGGTGTACTTTAATCAAATGTGAATAATAGTCTTGGATAAATTTAACAAATAGAAATAATTTGTCGGAACTAACTCTTTTTAGATTAACTAGGACGAGTAGATGGAAGTAAGTTCGGCTATCATCACCATTATTTGTCGATGTCGAGGACAATAAATTATCAGAATGAGTGTAGACGTATGGCATTCGATCACCCGCCTGAACTTTGTCTTTTTTTGAGTCTCCGTCTCCTACAGAAAGTGTACTGTGATGATACTGAATTCCGATCATTGAGATGCGTCTGAAGAAAGCATCCCGAAGAAACGAAATGTAATTAAGCAAAGGAGAGAGAATATACTGATAGAGATATGGCAAGATGTTGAGTCTGATAAATCGAAGAATATAGTGAGAACTTGTCATAAATGCAAAGACACGATCAGTTGAGCGAACGACATCTTTTGCTACGCGAATTCGTTCATCATTATAAGTTTTCAATAATTCGTTATTGTTTACTGTTTTTCCTTGAACAGTAAAGGCAAGTTTCCAAGCTAAATTGAAGGCATCCTGAAGGCCTGTGTTCATACCTTGACCGCCGGCAGGAGAATGAATATGTGCTGCATCGCCCAGTAGAAAATATTTATTGTGAAGCGAAAATGCTTCGACATAGCGATGATGTGTTCGGTAAGTTGTCATCCACAATGAATTGTACAAGTGAATTCTTCTTTCCAGATGTTGACTAATACACGACTGGATATCTTCAAATTGCAACTGTTTTGAAGATCTTAAAAGTTCATGGGGAACAGTGCCGATAACACGGTATCTATTATCATTTTCATGGCCCTTCAATGGAAATAGAAGACCTATGCCAGATTTTGTTAGATTGAATTGTATATCATCCGTTACTGTTCCACTTTTTTCCTCATCCAAAAACTTCACATGGCAATCAATCACAAAAAGGGTTTCTTCATAGGTATTACCGGGAAATGATAATTGAAGACTTTGTCTAACTTTCGAATGAGCACCGTCACAGCCGCATAGATATTTCGTGCGGATTTTGATCAATTCTCCCTCAATAGTGTCACGATAATCTTTGATTGTGCATTCAATTAGTTCGCTATTGATATCACCAAGTTCATGGAAGCTAATCAGTTCACATTGTCGATCTATTTGAATACGACGCTTAAGGAGGAAATCTTCAAGTAATTCTTCAGTTTTTGATTGCTCCAAAATGAGTATATATGGATATTTAGTTAAGTTTCGTGTTCGTAAAATATTCATATCCACTTCCATTCGCTTTTTTCCATTGAAAAATCCGCTAAGACCCTTGACAATTTCACCACGACGAACAGCTTCATCTCCAATTCCCAGTTGATCAAAGATTTCTAGAGAACGAGCATGGACGGCTAGCGCACGCGACTGAGTTGTATGATTGACG